AATTTTTATAAATATCTTTTAATTAACTTATAATAAAATTTAGCTTCGGATTTATAATGGCTTCCATTTCCTAGTTATAGGTAATAATTTATAATTTTTTTTTGTTATTTTTATAACAAAATCATACATATTATAATTATTTTATTTAATGATAAATAGGAAATAAAAAAATTTTTGTATCTTTTTAAAACCTTATTTTTTATTTTTTATTGAAACATTAAAAATATAACAAAATTGTTTTTTATTTATTAAATAAAAAATTTAATATATTTTTTTGAATTGTATCTTTTAAAAGATATCCATGATTTTTTATTTCACAATATTCCTTATCATTAATTCAATAAATAAAAATTTGATATAAATCATTTTGTCAGTTTTTCACAACATATCGTAGTTATTTAATTAAATTTTAAATTATTCATTGCTTCTTTAGAATTATAAAAAACAATAAACTCGGAATTACCAAATTATCATGCATATTATGAAGTTACAAATGTTTATTTATCAAGAGTTTAAAGGTGATGGTTATGCTGTTCTGAAGATTTATAACAAAACAAACAAAAAAATTTTCCGGCAAGCCAGAATTGAACTAGCGACCTAGAGATATCAGTTCAAGCATTAGATACTTACTACAGTCTCCCGCTCTACCAACTGAGCTATTGCCGGTCTTGTTTAAGTTTTGGTAAGTATGGTACTTGTAAATCAAAGATTGGTTAATTATAATTAGAAAATCCCGATAGTCATGCTTATTTCGTAATGTATAGGTGGCTTAAACTAAATGAGGCTTTTAACTCATATAAGCATACAGTACTTTTATCCATTGCGATCATTATGTGCCCTGTACGTAAACTCTAATATACAATATAGTTGCTAAACATTCATTTATAAATAATTCAATTGTATTTATTATTATATACCTATATACCATATCAAATAAAAACTAGCGGGAAGCGTGATCTATAATGGTAAAAATGATGCGTCAACTCATAGGCATGCATGAGTTGTGCAGAAAAGAGGATTAGAATCAAATTTGTATCGAAGACAATATAAGAGAATGAATGACTTAAATGTAAAGACAAAAGAATCAAAAGTTTCCGGCAAGCCAGAATTGAACTAGCGACCTAGAGATGCCAGCTTTGCCCACTACAGTCTCCCGCTCTACCAACTGAGCTATTGCCGGTTTATTATGGAAAGTCAAAGCTTTAGTAAAGTTAGCAAGCCCGTAGCTAGAACGTATACTTCATTCCGCAGATCATAGGAGGCTTAAGCTAGTTAACCAATACAGCGTGGCTGGTTCCAGCTAAATATCGCTGTTATGGCGGCGAGGCTGCCGCTGTTCCCACAGCTTTGCGTAATATCTTGGATGCTTTTAAACTAAATGTAAGGCTTTGACTCTGAGGTGTGGTTAAACATGTTTGGCCATTGCATTTATTGATCCTCTTGAAAAAATCTTAAGCATTTTTTCTGATAGATGACTCAATTATCCAGATCTAGTCTTATTCTTATTGTTATATCTTTTTAATATTACAAGTGTATTGTTAAACTATATTTTACGACAGTTCAAGTTCCCTCTACAATTGACTATTCTATCCACCAATTTATCTTCCCCAGGCGCGTCAGCGAATTAATCTCAGACGCGTCATATCTTTGTCTAATTTCAGCTATTCTGCCCTCTTGATTAAATACAGTGATCGCGTAACATGTTACAGCGCATATACTGTACCTGTTCATAACAGTATTTGCATCCATTACTTTTTATTAAATATTCGAATATATTACAGCACTATATAATCACGTAATTAGATTCAAAAATAGACATAATCATAAGTTTGGTAAAGATGTAAAAATACACGATTGATCTCTAGTGATGAAATTAAAGTAAACAGACCATGTTAATTTTAACGGGCCAAACGAAGTATTTCAAAATAAACATAGAATAAGTACATATAAAATCGACCAATTTAGAATCTCAAATAACAAAAAGAAACTTCCGGCAAGCCAGAATTGAACTAGCGACCTAGAGATATCAGTTAAGCCTAACATGCTCACTACAGTCTCCCGCTCTACCAACTGAGCTATTGCCGGTCTTGTTAAGTTACACACTATGTACATATCATAAATCAGAGGACGTGCAAAATTGATTGGTATATGGCAATGAAAATTAGGAAAGCCGGGGAATATAGAACATATGATTATCTGTAATGCATAGAAAGGCGAAGGTGGCTTTAAATGGCTTATAAAGTATTCTCTACTATCGACTTATGTAAGCATATAATATTTTATTATTCATTAAATACTGTATCATTATATGTACTGTACAAATGGATAAAAACCGTATTAGGACGATTTTTATTATATTGAAAATTATTAAGTAATTTATTATTCCAAAAAATAATCTATCAACATGTGTACCCATTTTTTTTAATTACTTATTTTACACAGTTTGGCATTGTATCTACAAAACTTAACTTTATCCAATGCAATATTATTTCATGCTGTAATAACAGCTTCCTCCAAGTCAGATTTATTACATGATTTTTGTTTTTGTAAATCCAGAATTTAACTTCTTTTTACATATTTTTGAATGGATACAGGTCTGGTGATTATGATAATTACTCTATAGATATAATTTCAAGTTTCATTCAAGTGTAACAAAAATAATTCTTTGGCCATTCTTTGTGTAAAATAGATGAAACACATATAAAAAATTGTAATAGAGTAATCAACAATTGATTAAAACATTATAAAAAGACTGTATTTTTCCTCAGTCTTGAAGAAAGAACAACTAGAAACATAATATAGAAACACTGAATTCTTATATTATTTTGTAATGTTTTTATAACTTTCTCTAATAAAATTATTATTTTATTTATATTTTTGTTCTCATATTTTTATTTCTTTTCTTTTGAAATTTATTTTTATATATTGTTATCTTTTGATTCCAACATCAGAGCAGAATTATAAAACCTAACTAAAATAATAATATTCAATTGTTTATATTAATTTATTTAATATTGTTTGAAACATAACATATGTTAAATAAATTTAATCATTGAGAACTGAATATTATTTTTATCAGTAGTTTTGAAGTCTGTCAAACAAGAAACTGAAGGTTTCAATATATTAAATTGTGAATTTTCATGTTCTTTTGTTTTCTATTGATATTTCTTTGAATCTTTTCTTTTATTTTTTTTTATTCTGTTTCTATTTTCTATGTATTTTATAGAAATGCATTGTTCACTACAAGTTTAAATTGACATCATTATTATTTTATTCTCCCAAAGCATTAACAATATATGAATTATAACTTACTTATATAAATTTATAAAAAATTTAAGTATTGAAGTGGTATCATTAGAAGCCCTAGATCTTTTAGAAAGAATAAATTGTCTATTATTTTTTTTTAAAAAATTATAAAAAAGAAAAACTTATCAAATTTCACTTCTTAAAAAGATTATTATTTTTAATATAGTTTCTAAAAAAATAGAATCAACAAATTAAAAAAGTAATAAAATAGAAAGTAATATTTCTAAAGAAAAAAGGAATCTAGAAAAAAAAATCTTCAAAAAAAAAGAAAAATCCAACTTTGGCAAGAAAAAGAAAAAAATCTTTAAAAGAAAAAAAAATTTAACTTTAGCAGGAAAAAAAATAAAAGAGAAAAAGAAAATACAAATA